ATGGGTATCTGAGAACATCGTACTATTATAATTAATAAAAAGGTAAATACATGAATAAATGGAAATGAAAGAAGGAAGTTGGGGAGGCATTCAAGTATGAGAATAGCTACACAAAGGCTCAGAAATAAAGTATAGCCTGAGAATCGAATATACAGAGGACAGAAGGAAAAAATAAGGCTGCAGAGGTTGGAGCACAGCCCTATTAAAAAGTGACCCTGTAAGCTAGAGAATGTGGATCTTCCTATGGTGAAAGTTTCTTTTGTAATGTTAAAAATTTTACATGAAAGACCTCACCATCAACAAGAAAGAAGAACCGTAGTGAAGCATGTCCGAGAGCCCTACGTGGAAAGATGGCAGAGGAGTGCTGAGACCATGAGAGCCGTAAAGCTGAGTGCCTTTGGGCAGGAGACTGGGCTGCAGAGTGGGGTGCCTCTTGAGGATTTATCAACACGAAAGGAGCTTTGTAACACTTGCCAGAGCAGGGAAGAGGCCAAGGGGTCATGTGGCTGAGAGGCTGAGGAGTAGAGAGAGACATAACAGGGGGTAAAAAATATATATATGGAAAAAAAGCTCCTCTTGGGTGGAGCTTTTGTAGTACACATTTTTCACTAGGCGAGCATCTAGCAACTCTCTATGAGTTAGTGCACCCAGTGGCTTCGCCTGGGAAGGTTCTCTCTGGTCACAGTAAATTTTTTCCTGAAAGCAGTTTTGTTTGGATGTCGTTTTTTCGGATGGCCGATTTAAGAGAACGGCGTGAGGCTGTGAATTTTGTTTCCTGCTCAGGAAACATGTTGCAGAAACTGTTGTGATGCTGAACACAGCTTTCAAGGACAGTGCTATGGGAAAAACTCAAGTGTAGGAGTGGTTTACTCGTTTCCAAAAAAAGTGAAATGTCAATTGATGACAAACCTTATTCTGGATGTCTGGCAACTTCCCAAATGGATGAAAATGTTGACTCAGTGCATTTGGAGTTTGTTCCACCAAGTCAGACTGTTAAGAGGTTCCGAAAAGATCGCGTAACAGTGTGCAACAAAAAAGGCCTGATTTGTGGCAGATGAGGGATTGGTTTTGCCACCACAACAATGCACCTGCTACACAGCCATCTCGGTGGGCCAGTTTTTGTCAAAAACATCATGCCTCTCGTGCCAATGCACCTTACTCACCTGACCTCACTCCCCGTGACTTCTTTTTGTTTCCTCGAAGAGGGACATGAAAGGACAGTGATTTGAAGATGTGGATAAGGTGAAGAAAAAAAATGAGGGAGATGCTGTCAGCCATCAAAACAAATGAGTTTGAAAAACGATTTCAAGAATGGAATCTCAGACTTGACAAATGTATTAAGTATAATGGAGGGTATCTTGAAGGTGATAAAGGTTGTTTTGTAAAAAAAAAAGTATAGCTTTGAAAAAATTTTTTCAGGTTTTTTTGGGGTGCCCCCTCACATATCCTACACTCCTCTTCCACTATTATTATCCAACATCAGTATGGTAGGTATATTTGTCACAATCAACGAACCAATATTAGTATTTTAACTACAGTCCATATTTTTGTCCAGTTTCCTTAGTTTTTACCACATAGTATTTCATGGTAAAATCTATTTTATTGTCAAGGCTCCTTTGGGCTGTGAAAGTTTTCACATTTTCCTTCTTCATGACGACATTGACAGTTTTAAAGAGTAGTGGTCAGACATTCTCAAATGGGGTTTGTCTAACACTTTTCTCAGGTTTACACTGGGATTATACAGTTCTGGGAAGAATGTGTTAGACATTCAATGTCATTCTCATCCCATCATTTGAAAGGTACTTGCCATCAACAAGAAGGGCCTTTGTGGTGCAGTGGTTACATATTGGGCTGCTAACCCCAAGGTCAGCAGTTCAAAACCAGACACTCCTCAGAAGAAAGCAGAGCTTCTACTCCCACAAAGCGTTACAGTCTGAGAAACTCACAGGGGGATGTTCTACCTTGTCCTTTAAGATAGCTATGAGTCAGAGTCGCCTTAATAATTTTGAGAAAGTTGAGTGCTATCAACAAGATTTATCATCACTGATGCTTTTTCCTAAGAATTTGAATTTTACTTTACTGCTTAATCCGGACTGCTTATAGCAAAAGCACTTTTATATTGTTTTGCTATTTGGATTGGGCTCATTAGTAGGGGGAGATGACCTGCTATCCCCACCCCCTCCTGAGAGCCCTGGTGGTGTAGTGGTTACCTATTGGGCTACGAACCACAAGGTCAGCAGTTTGAAACAATCAGCTGCTCTTGGGGAGAAAGACAGGGTTTTCTATTCCCATAAAGAGTTACAGTATTGGAGCCTCACAGGGCAGTTCTACTCTGCCTTAAAGATAGTGGCTATGAGTCACATAGATTTGCTGTTTGGTTTTTGTTTTTGAGAGAAGATTGGCCTTTACATTCCAACCGCATCACTTACAGTATGGATAAGTTTGGGCAAACTATTTGTGCATCTGTAAAGTGGGATAATGCTACCAAAGACGAAACTCCAGAGGAAGGAAGGATTAGGAAGGAAGGAATAATGGAAATGATAAACACAAGAAGTGGGATGCATTATTACAGAGGGGATTGCACGTAAAACAACATGTGTATGAATTATGGAGTGAAAAAATGATTTGCTTTTAAACCTTCAACCAATTCACAACAAAAATTAAAAAAAAATTTTTTTTCAACTACAGGCTGAGCAGAGAGCCAGGCTGATATTAAATTGAGGAAAGGAGAAGAGTAAAAGTTCCTAACTGTTCTCCATTGTTGCCCTATTGAGAAAGTGAGTCATCTGAGGGTGAGAATTTCCTAGGTCTTACAAACCCAAAAGAGCTGGTTTGATATAAACTAAATATTAATAATTTTGACAGTATTTTTATATACAGTATCTGTGAGAGAAAGGTATTTTCTCTTTGGGACTGTAATCATTCTTTTAGGCTCTTCTATGACCACTAGGAGCTCTGGTAGCATAGTGGGTTACACGTTGGGCTACTAACTGCAGGGTCAGCAGGTTGAAATCATCACCTGCTCCCATGGAGAAAGACGAGGTTTTCTACTCCTGTAAAAAGTTTCAGCCTCGGAAACCCACAAGGACAGTGTGAGTTTGTCCTATAGGGTCGACATGAGTCGGAATTGACCTGATGGCTGTGAGTTGAGGTGAGGACCATTAAGCATGAAGCTTTATTTTTTAAATGGTACACAAACAGAATAATTATTCAAAGACTACAAGTCTTCCTGTCTTAAAACCATACCAATCTAGTTTAAAAGTAAATACCAAAGTTTTTGCTCTCTTACGGTTTTATGCTCATGCAATTTCTTGAACTTGAGGTCTGAAAAATAAAACAACTCCATTTTCTCCTGAAGCAAGTTAGAGCTAATAACGTTTTTAATTTTCATGCATAGACAAAAAATATGTTGGTAAAAGAGAGGAGGCTTGCTCTGCAAAACTTTAGTTAAGACTGAACACTAGTACAATTTAACCTGGTATATTCCAACCAGCAAAGATGTCAGTCTAGTGATATGGACCTAAGCCTAACTTTGTCTCAAAGACTATAATATGGAACTTTGAGAAAAGTTTCCAAGTATCTTTGTGCCTAGATATTGAGAGAATAATGAGACTAGGTGTACGAAAACAATCTTGAAAAAAATATATTTCTAAAGTGTCCTAGTGGTGCAGTGGTTGTAGCACTTGTCTGCAGCCCCAAAGGGTGGTGTTTCAAACCCGCCAGCTGTTCTTTGGGAGAAAAGTGTCTGCTAGATTCACAGCGTCAGAAACCTTATGGGGTAGTATCACTCTGTCTTAGAGACGCTGCCCTATAAACACTGACTCAGACTCAAGTCCACAGCAGTGGTTTCTTTTTTTCCTAACCCTGAATGGTCCCTGTCCTTAGCAGCGCGTTAGTTATTCATTGAGGGAGCTTCTGGACCAGCCAACAGCGGGTTTAATTTGAGAGAGGAGCACACTAAAGTTCTTTCCACTGGTGAAAGCTGTAACCTTGAAAACCCGACTAGAACCACACATTTCGGTTATAAAAGCTTAATTTCTTCTGCTTTTCTCCGTTATGTTTGTGGCACCACGGTATTATGATCCCACTCTCCGACTCCCCTCAACGCATCAGCAGAAACAAGAACAACCCCTTCTATTGAGGGAAATAGTGTCAGAACTGCTCTCCTACAAAGAACTGCTTCTCCTACAAAGCGGTCGCAAGCCCGATGTCTTCAAATATAAAAACTCTCGGGAAGTCAAGGGCAGTCTAGGAACTCTCGACGCCTCAGGTCAAGGGTAACAAGCAGATACACCTGCTGGGACGCGGACCCAGGTAACCAGAAAATCCGGAGCACCAAGCTAACCTAACATCCTGGCCAGCAGAGATAAACATCGCGAGATAAGGTTGAAAGAGGCGAGAAAAGGCCTCTCTCGCGAGAAGAGGGGGCGTCGGCGGAAACTAGGAAACGGCCCCCTAGGCGACCCAGACCCCGCCAGTGGGCGGGGCAAGTGGTAGATCCGCCTCCTTCCGGCTTTCCCCCCGCCCCCAACCCTGAGGTATTGGGCTTACGGTTCGGGTAGCTAGCGTCTCTGGGTTTCAGCCGACGGGGGCAAGGTCGGGTTCAAAGCCTCCGGAACGTGCTTGGGCCTGATTTGTGGAGGGGGGGGGGCGGGGAGGGGCCTGCGGCTTGCGGCCCCGCCCCCTTCTCCGGGTAGCCGGCGGGCGGGCGGGCCGGCCAGCCTCCTCCTCCCGCCGGCCGTGGGTCGCTTCCCGCGGGCAGCTCAGCCGCCGAGGCCTGAGCTTCTGCTCGCAGGTGTCGGTAGCGAGGGCTCCGGGGCACAGCCCAGGGCGGCCCCATGGTGGGGTTCGGGGCCAACCGGCGGGCTGGCCGCCTGCCCTCGCTCGTGCTGGTGGTGCTGCTGGTGGTGATCGCCATCCTCGCCTTCAATTACTGGAGCATCTCCTCCCGCCACGTCCTGCTTCAGGAGGAGGTGGCCGAGCTGCAGGGCCAGGTCCAGCGCACCGAGGTGGCCCGCGGACGCCTGGAGAAGCGCAATTCGGACCTCCTGCTCTTGGTGGACTCGCACAAAAAACAGATCGACCAGAAGGAGGTCGACTACGGCCGTCTCAGCAGCCGGCTGCAGGCCCGGGAGGGCCTGGGGAAGAGATGCGAGGATGACAAGGTGAGGACAAGCCCCTTGCCCTGAGCCCCCCAGAACCCACTCGATTCTTTCCGATCGGCAAGCGGGCGGACGCGGAGCCAGCCAACCAGCCGCTGCCCTGTCCGCTCCCGGGCGGCAGCGCTGGAGGGCCCTTTTATCCCCTACAACCCTGGTTCCATCAGACTTTCCCCATCTTGTCGCCACCACCCTTTCCTTCATCGCCTCATTCTCCAGTCCCTGCCAGACGAAACTGGCTGAAAATTCTGGTTCTCGAGAGTGGGCAGTGTGGCTGCCACCTTTTCTCTAAGGTCAGCTGCTGAGCTGGCACTAGTAATCGTTGGCCAATGTGGCTGCTTTACATTCACCAATCCCCAAATCTGGAGGCAGCCAGGCTTGGTGTGAGTGTTGTTGCTTCATCTTTATTCCGTGCACACCGATCGATATTCATTTCATTCCTTAGAGAATGGAGCTTCATCGTCATTCGGATGCTTCTGGTGGAGACCCTATCATTTTAAAGCAATATGACTTTCTTAAATCTCTTTAAGGTGATGTATTAAGTAATTAAAGAGTCAGACATTACCGCTTTCATGTGATACATATGTTTCGATACGTGGCCCCTGCGGCCATTTGTGAGCCTCACTCATGACTTGGACATAGTTAATTCATATTTACCGATATGTGTTTACTTTGAGTTGTTAACAAAATTATCCCAGTAAGAGCCAAAAATTTTTTTTTCTAAGCAAGATAATCTCATGTAGTGCCTTTATTGTTCTTGAAAACGAAATAAAAATGAAAGGTGGTATGCATACAAATGTTTTATGCAGATACAGATGGAAACCCAGACAAGTTTTAAATTTAAAAAGTTTAAAGCTGGCCTTTTACCAGACCTCATAAAATCGCCTTTGTTTTCCACAGCATATTTGGAGAGCTATTAATAATTTGTGACTCTTTGCAACTTATGTTGGTAGAGCAGGGGTGTGAAAACTTCTGGATGGGATAGTAGATGTGCACCTCATTGGTGATCTTCAGGGTGTATTATAATGACCAGTTTTGTTTTGTTTTTTAAATCATTTTATTGGGGACTCGTACAACTCATCACAATCCATACGTTCATCCATTGTGTCAAGCACATTTGTACATTTGTTGCCACCATCATTCTCAAAACATTTGCTTTCTACTTGAGCCCTTGGTAGCAGCTCCTCGTTTTTTTCCCCTCCCTCCTCACCCTCTCCCCGCTATAATGACCAGTTTTTACTTTGCCTATTCTATCAGAATCATTAGTAAGTCGTTATAAATTAAAACTTCACTAAGCTTCCAGCTTCCCTGTTGTCACTAGCCTTTGCTTCCCATTGTATTTCATCACGAATGAGGTCCTGAGGTAAGTAGTTTCCTATAAGTCCTTCTCTTTAGCATGATGTAGACATCCTTGAAGAGGCCCAGGGATCCACAGGTTGAACCTTGAAGACTGCAAAACTCTGGGTAGGAGTAGGCAAAAATCCGTGAAGTTTTGGAGTATTAAAATGAGATCGCCATACTGGATGGCCTGACCTCACCGGCCATCCAGAGGAGAGAGATGTGGCGATCTGTTTTCAAAAGGACATCAGCTTTGTAACCTCTATGGGGCAGTTCTACTCTGCCCCATCAGGCTGCTCTAAGTGGGAAGCAACTTGACGGCCGTTTGGTTTGGGTTCATAAAGTCCTCTAACTAGCCTTCACAACAGTCAACTAATTTCTTTTACGCTATAACTATTGAGCTCTAATTTTTATTCTGTAGTCTGTAAGTGCTTCATCTATACTTCTTTCAGTCCCCTTGTAATCTTAACCTTTTTTTTGTTTTGTTTTTTGTCTTCCATTCTTTTCTGAAGCTGTTCTCTTGAGGATCACAAGTGGCATTCCTGGTCAGCCCCCCAAATAGTTTTCTATTCTCAATCTATTTAACAGCTCTGTAGTTCCGTCCTGCTGATTATCTTGCACTTTTGGAAAACTATCCATCTCCTTTTTTGGTTCCATAATGCTGAACTCGCCAATCTACCTTCCTCACTATTTTTTTCTTGGATTTTTTTTTCCCTTCCCCTTTAACCATTTATTAATGGAGTTCCTGCTCTTTTGTTTTCCCTCTTAGTGCAGTATTTCTGAAAGTGGTGCTAAACAAAATAGAGTTCAAGCAAATTAATGTAATTCATAGGTGGTCTGGAGGGAAATAAGAAGTAGTGATTCCTCATTTTGGAGTTCATAATGCCTGATAACATAATGCCTGATAACATAAATGCCTGAGAAATCCATTATTAAAGAAGTCTATTTAATTTTGTTGAGTCCAAACCACAGCCAATTAGTCGATTTTAGTCTTTCTCAATTAGTTTGAGCATAGATTATTATTATTACCCACCTGTTACCGTGGTACAGAAGAATGTAGCAAAGCACCCCAGTGTGAGAAATGCCACCTTACCTATCTTTAACACTTAGAAGTATTTGGCTAATATTCTATACAGTTGACTCAAATTTCTGTCCGTTATTTATATGACAGTTTCATGTTTTGAGCTAGCTATGACATCTGTTTGAGGGGCTTACGAATGCCCACCCTTGACGTCAATGAAGAGGCTCTGAAAGGCTTAATGTTAATAGAAGGACGAGTCTTGATCTAGCTGAGCTATGGCTGAAAATTGTCGCCCAGATGTGTTTCCTTTGTGTGGCCACTCCCTTAATATATGGAGAAGTAAACAAATTAAAAACACATGAAAGATTTAAAGGCTGCAGATGTAGCTCAGTGTCTAGCTATGTGAGTTTGGGACAAATTATTTCACCTGGGTTTCATATATCAAAAAACAGGAAAAAAATATCTAACACAACTTCAAGAGGGTGACCTCCAATGACTGTCATTTTTAACAATGGGGAAAAACATTTTCAGTGAAATTTTCGTGGCCTTTTTCTCATCTGTGCCGTGTCAGTTATCTTATAAATTCTTCATAATAAGCCCCCTGTGATTGTCCTTATCCTTCAAGAAAATCTCCTAAGAGTACACCTTTCTAAACTCCCTGTTACTGAGTTGATGCCAACTCAGAGTGACTGTAGGACAGGGTAGAACCGCTCTCATGACTTTCCGAAACTGTAACTCTTTACAGGAGCCTTGTCTTTCTCCCACAAGATTACCCCTTTATTATCATCCCCCACCCCCACCACCCCCAAATGACTATAACTTGCGCTTACCTTGATGCCTTGAATTCAAGTGGTCCAACTAATCTCCTTATAAGCCATTGTTTGGGCCTTTTTGTTTGTTTGTTTGTTTGTCTGTTTGAAGGCACTTTAATAAGACTAGGACAAAGGTGTTCCTGGGAGAACTTGTCTGCAGTCGTCCACTGTTCACAAAGGATGTTTTCAGAATAAACTCATTCATGTATGAACTGGAACCAGAGTATCAATACTTTTTGTCTTACCCTTTTATGTAAAAGTATCACACTTGACACCGTAAATCATACTGTGGGGGGAAAAAACCAAACCCTGGAGCTTCCTATTTTCTGGAACTGATCTAAAAGCTTATCTCTGTGGGTGGAGGACAAACAAGTAAACTTGGCGATTACATTGTGTCTCTTGCTTTTTAACGCAGGTTTATGAATGCTAACTCAGCCTTTTGAGTGAAGTCTCCACCTCAGGGGTTTTCCCAGTGCAGATCCAGTCATTGGCTTAGTCATCAGCTGTGCACACTCACTCCCTCGTCTTTGCTGACGAACTACCTGTGACTCCTGACCGACCCTGGGTCAGGAACAGGGACTTAGGATCTGCCCTGTGAGTTATGAGGAAGTCTCCTGGGAAAACATTACTTGTTCCCTAAAACAGTCACACATGTACTCTGAGGGATTCTTTCCCCCAAGCTCAAAAGTTCCCCTCTAATTACAAGAAAGCATCAATCAGATGAGCCCATTTTGAAGCACATTCAAGCAGATCCCAGGCCAGTACGCTTCAAGAAGAGCCACACGTGCAGGGACGGTCTCTTCTGCTAGTTAGTGTTGCTTCTATATGTAGTCCCTGCTGTTGAGGGAGCCAGAGTGCCAGGTGATGGCTGAGAGAGACACTGCAGATGACAGAGAAGACTTGTCAGTGTGAGAAAAAATTGTTTCTTTAATGTTTAAACTAAGGAGCCCTAGTGGCATAGTGGTTATGTGTGACTGCAAACTGCAAGGTCGGCAGTTTGAAACCAGCCACTCTAAGGGAGAAAAAGAAGGCTTTCTACCTGCATAAAGAGTTAGTCTCAGAAACCTACAGGGACAGCTCTACCTGTCCTGCAGGGTCGCTGTGGGTCAGAATCGACTCCCTGGCAGCGAGTTTGTTTTTTAGTTTATTGTTTGAACTAGTCAAGTTGGGGTTCCTGAGTTCCTGTTAGCATTCTCATTGCCAAGGTGAAAATGGAATTGTTTTCTGTGAACTTTTGAAGCCCCTGTGCACATCCCTAGAGCAGTGAGGCAGTGGCCTCAAATCCGCAGGTGCGGATTGTTGGTTTAGTTCAGCTAAAAATATCAACACTGGTTTGGAATGCCTTCCTCCTTAATTCCTCTCAGCTTCTTAGAGACTAGCATTCTATGGAGGTGTGACTCCTCACCCGACCCCACATTTCTATTGCAAGTTCCACACCAAAGAGCCCTTTGCGTCGCTTAGCCACCTTAGGAGGGTGTGTGTGCGCATGCATGAGGACATGCCTTCATGTAGCTTTCCTCAGGTTTTTTTGTTTTGTTATTTAAATTGAATTTTATATTTTAAAACAGTCTTAGCTTTACAGAAATATTGCTAAGGTAGTTCAGAGCTCCCATAGATCCCACACCCACTTTCCCCTATTTTTAACATTTTTACATTCACATGGCAGCGTTGTCACAATTAGTTAACCAGTAATTGATACGCTACAGTTAACGTAAGTCAATACTTTATTCAGTGCCCTTGTTTCTCGTGACCTTGGTGGTTTTAAAGACTTCTGGTTAAACATTTTGTAGATGTTCCTCATCTGGGATTTATCGGACGCTTGACTCCCAAGACTG